CACATCTTCAATCCGATGGTTTTATTAACAGGTCAAATAAATATTTTTATAACCAAACACGGTGTAATTCCAACATCCTTCAGTCTGATAAGAAGCTGAAAACCAAATTGGAGAGTTGGACAGATCGTTAGGTTTGCTGAGATAAAGTTGACAGTTGTTAATGTTGAGAATTACTGGACGAACCAGACAGTCAACATCGACGACTAATTCACATTAGCTTTTCTAGTTTCCTCTACCTTCAAAGATAGTGTTAAAATAAACCTTTTAGGAACTCGTATTAAAACAATTTATGTTTAAATTATAACTGTTGCTAAGTTTGTTTTTTTGTCCTGCTGTTGTGAATTTAATTGAACAAAATCCAAATATTACAAATGTTATACCAATATAAGATACCTTATACTCTATTCCGAAGTAGTAAATAAAAAAATGAACATTTCAAAACATTAAAAAAAATTAAAAAAATAATTCTATATTTTTTTCAGTGACCATATACTACAAGAATGAAATCACATTGTACTGTAGAGCTACATGAACTAGAACATACAACGCCTCTATAAAGTGTGCTCGGTTTATATTAATAAATATATTTGAATGTTGATCACTTTAGCCTGGTCATTCAAACAGCAGCTAACGAGGTGAACCTTCTGGAAGCAGAACATCACGTGACGTCAGACGATACTGGACTGTTGGACCTGACCTACAGTATGGGCTACACAACTGTTCACGTCAGGTTAGCCTTTGTAGCACTGCATTTATGCTGGGGGTTGTTTTTCTCACACCTGCCCATCCGTCCATCCAGCCGTCTGTCCATCCGTCCAATCTGTCTCCGACCCAATCCTCCCTCGTCTCTCGTTCTCAAAGCTACAGGCCCAAAAACCTCAGCTCCCCCACTCCTCCTCTTTTTCTTTTAAGCCCAGTCCCTTTCAACTGGAATACGACCAGGCAGAGTGAGAAGTGAACGCAGACAGGTCGCTGCTGCATAATGGATCAACTAACTGTTTGAAATTCTCTGGGATTTTTAAGACTCAAGGAGAAGAGAGAGGGAGAAAAAAAACAAAAAAAACAACATGAATTTACCCCGGAGGAGACGCAGAAGTTAAAGTCTGGTGTATCTGAGTTTGCAGACCCAGTTCTGTTATGGCCCAGCGCATGTTCACACCTTTGGTTTTTTTTATTTTCAGACACGGTTGTAACTATTCCGTTTTATCTCCCCGGCTTCTCCGGGAAGAAAACAATCCTTCTGGAAACCTGTTGTCTGGTTTCAGTAACTAAAACCAACAACGTTCCCTGTGATTACACGAAGACAGGAAGCACTAAGAAGAAAATAAGTATCACGTCGGCGGAGACTTCACCCACACACAGTTCAAACGGCGGCGGCGGCGAGTGTTGTTGCCAAGGTTCTGTTGCTCCACAGATCCGTGGAGCAACAATTCAGTGGAAATAAAGCTATCGTGTAAACTTTTGTGGCTCTTTGAAAAAAAAAAAAGAACCAATTAAACGAGCCAGCTTCACCTAATTGCTCTCTCCATTGTCCGCCCTCTCAGCCTATCAGACCTGCACTGGATCACTCTGTCGATTTTAAGATGGTTTTTCTGAGGGAAAAGTTGGAGAGAAGTTTCCAGCTGAAACTTTCACCCTGAAGAGCCGTGAACTTCCTGGTGTCTCCAGCCCACGCAGCGAGGGAAACGCAGCGGCCAACCCAAAGTTTGGTCCGAAAGAAATCAAACTTTTAGCCGTCTCTCGTCAACACTGTCAGGATCCTCCTTCATCGATACACTCAGAAAAACCACGTCGGCTCAATTAGAGCCGCTCAACAACAAGGGCTAGAAACAGAACCGGAAGAACCGGAGTCGAATCCCACTGGGCCTCAGAGTCGAGCTCGACCAGAGACGTTTGAGGAAAGACCTACTTTAAACCACAGTCCAGGAAAAGTTGATCTGCTCTAAATAATTCAATACAAGTTTGATAAATTATGTAAATGAATATTAAATGAGAGATTTCCACTTGGTGCCAGACACTACTGCGACCACTGCACTATCACGAAATATTCTATTTCAACTAAAATTCTGGACCGCAGACCGGCCAGTGAAACGAAATATTCTATTTCAACTAAAATTCCGGACCGCAGACCGGCCAGGGAAACACCATCCACCATCCACACGCATGGTTTCATCTTGTTAAATAAAGGAGTATTCAGAAAAAAAAGTGTTTTCTTGATATGTGATATATCCATGAAACAACCAACCAATCAACACTGAATGGATGTAAAATGTACAAAAATGTAAAAACTGACAAGAAGAAACTTCACTTTTCAGAGTGAGTGCCTGGAGTATTCTGTATCATACGGAGTCCTCACATCTGTCCCTGTCCATCTGGTGGGTTGGTACGTCAGGAAAAAAAATACCTTGTTCTTTTTTTTGGAGATTTTTCTATGCAACACAGCAGATCAGCTATTTCTGCACATACAGGGTTTAATAACAGTAACGACGGCAGTGACAGGAGTGAGAAGACATTTTCTCCACCATCTGTTCTTCAAACGCCACATTTGGAGGCAGCGCTCCGCCATTTCTTACTTCTAACCAAATCAATTAGGGCCTTAATATCGGCAATTAGACCTGCGATTAACACTCAGACTGATGTTCGCGATGGTCGTCCTCGGGGCAACTCCGACATCCGACATCCTCTGTACAAGATGTACGACTATTAAAGGATTTAAACTCAGTGCATTTCAGCAGTTTTTAGGGGGAAATTTAGTCCTGGGGGGTAAACACTGCTGAGTAGTTACAGCAGTGAGGGGTCTGACTTCGATTCTGCTTTAAAAAGAAGTCTTCACAGAGAGGGTGTGGGGGGGGAGAGAGGTTGGGGGGGGGTTGTCATCTCATTTGCTTGTGTTTTATTGGGGGAATCAGATTTTTCTCGCCGTGACAGTCTGAAACGGTAGAGTGTGGATCGGAGGTAATTGGAGTTTCTAAATGGATTATATTTGAAGATATAAGTGGCTGTGAATTGATTTATGAAGCCGAGAATCATCTGGAGACCAGCACACCGTGTGGAATTAGATATTACTGCGTCATATGGAACCAGACGTAAACAGTGTGCCTGAACGCGAGACAAAAACAGAGGACGTCAGACACATGATTTGTCCATGGAATATTACATATAATGGAGTGTCTCCTGTGATTCAGCTAAAGCACCGTAGCAAATACTTCATCAACCCCCCCCACCCCACCCCCCCGGGGGCCTCCGGAATATTAATCCTGCTGGAGTGGGGCCGCCGTCCAGACCGCGGCACATGTGGTGGATGGGCACGGGTTCTGATGAGTTCTGCACTTTACAATTCAAGGAAGGAGAAGAAACCAAGGTAACAACTGCACGGGTGCAAACAGGACTCAGCTGGAACACAAGGTTTTATAATCGAGGTTCACTAACGCAGCAGCTGACGACCTCATCGCCCACGTCGCCCACGTCGGCCATGTCGCAAACACGGATTTGACAA